TAATATAACCCCTATTATCCCCTATTATAGTCACTATTACTAGGTGGGGGGTCCACCTAACTTATACCTGCTAACAACATACAGGACTAAGGCTTGAGGACTGCTCCAGGGTTGCCATACGTCAGGGCGTCTTCCTTTGCACGCCATGAACCCTCAAATCAGCTGAAAGTCCGATGTAGTTATAGGGTCGTAAGATTGGGGGCTGCGAATACCCAAATCCTCTTACTACGACAGGGGTTCCTCACATGCCCTCTCAGGCCCTGACCATTGGAGTATGACCTGAGCTGGGAAGGCCGGCAGGACTGGTGGCTTCCATGAAATAAATGGTTTTGCAGATTCTTTTTTGGAATCTTACAACGTGTTAGACTCAAAGAGAAGCAAATCCAACAATGACCTAGTTTGGAGTGCATAGAATTCGGTTCATTTTTTTCCGGAGAACACAAGGGGGGACCCCTACAGCAATTTGTGGAAATGCCAATGTCTCCACGCGTGAAACTTCATGAGCCCCTTTCCAGGGAGACCTCGGGATGATATGAAATGTTATGTAGGGATCTTCAGGATTTCTCGAAGGCGTGGGTCCCTTTTGGTGGGGTGGGTCGGGTGCTGGATTCGAGATATTCATATATATATATATGTATATACAGCAGCGCAACCCTCAAAGTCAGGACCTTCTGAGTCCCATGACAATGACTCTTCTGAGATCAGTTTGGAGTTGGGGTTACCCGGGTACCAACATCTGTTTCTGAAACAAGTCGGAGGTACACACGGGATCACACGGAGTGCCTAGCTTCATAAATGCCGAAGGTTTTCCAATACATCCTAAACTCTAAACCCTGAACTCTAAGCCCTAAACTCCTAAACCCGAAACCCTAGACCCCAAACCCTAGACCCGAAACCCTAAGCATCCAAACCCTGGAGCCAAACCTAAGCTCTAAACCCTTAATCCCTAAACCCCTCAACAAACCCCTAAACCTGTTAGGCTGTCCCCAGACCTGCGCACTCCCCAGCCCAAGTAAAATAGTCCCCTCACCCTACTATCGGGTTCAGGGTTTAGGGTTTAGGGTTCAGGGTTTGGGGTTTAGGGTCTAGGGTTTGGGCGTCAAGGTTTGGGGTTTAGGGTCTAGGGTCTAGGGTTCCCCCAACCCAAGGCTTAAAGCTCCCAAGCACATATTCCCTTTGGATTATATCATATCATACTATATCACATTATATTACCTTACACAATATCATATACTAATTATATATAATACCAACGTATATTACAATATTTCATATCATGTGATGTTCTTTTATTTTATTTTGCGGTTTTCGTGTCATTTAACACTTGGAGGGTGGGGGGGTGCAACATTGGGGGGGTTGAAGCTCAGCACTAGTGGAAATGCTAATGACAATGCGCACCTGCCCAGATGGCAGATGTGGCAGCTCGTGTGACCCTCTCCAAATATCCCTAGGGATCCAAGTATACAAATACGGACATAGGGCCCACAAGTCTATGAGTATTAGCTACATTGGGCTATTTGGATCTCCAGGGTATTGAACGTCCTCCTATAGCTCACATGTGTGTGTCACACCGTTCTATATATCGCGCGCGTAGCTAGAACTGGTACTGGTATCCTGGCATTGCTCCGTGCTTCCTGGTTGCCGTCGTTACTTCTTCTCTGTGTCTTGCTGCAAATATGTGTCCTGTCCTTCTTGCCTTCTTGCACCAAGCTTCTCAATGCCGACGGTCCCCAGGAGGTGGTCCAGATCCACTGCGCTGTGCTTAGAACTGCTCCCATGCATGCCTCAAGACGAGAGGCTGTAGACATCTTTCCAAGTGGACCGCACCGGAAAAACATGTGCGCTAGTATGGCGGTCCCTAGTTTATATAAACCAAAGGATGGGTTGGGAAATGCCACTGGCCGCGAGTTGGGAGTATTCTAGGATCTCTCTACTTGTGGGCCACTCCAGGAGTGACGGGCTGAGGGTGCAAGTCTTGCGAGGTAGTGGGTTTCTTGGCAGTTGAGGCCCCATCCAGGTCTGCAATTGGCGTCGTTCATTCAGGTCATTCTTATACTCCACCCTGAGCGCTGAAACCCGTAGTTATTGTGAATAATTGTAGGCAACAGCCTAAATACCTACATTTTGGGGCTGAAACCATCATCATGGACATAAGGCCGTGTATCTTCGTAACGCTCTACACTCTGAACCCTAAACCCTAAAGAGTAGTTTCCATTTTCTTTTCCATTATCCCAATATATCCCCTATATAACCCCCCTTTAAGGAACCCTAAACCCTTCCTATACCTGGCCTTCCGTTACCACATGCTCCAGAAGGCGCCGAACGCGCTGCCGCCCCTCTTCCTGCTCTGCTACCACCTGCGATGGAAGAACCGGCTAAGTCTTTTTTTCTTTTTTTTTTTATCTTTTCCGCCTGCTGAGTTCAGCAAAAGTCTAGGTTTAGGAGGCTTTGAGGAACCCTAGCATGGGGATTTAACAGGGACTCAGGCTGCCGTAGGAGCCGTATGAGGGTTGTTTTGAGAAACTCTCACATTGGCGGGTTCCAAAAAGAAAGGGCCCGGCACCGACAGTGTCTACAGTACCTAAGGCATGCGGGCTCCTTGTTTTAAGGCCTGGACACAAGGGAGCCTCCATTCGATTTAAATGAAAAGGTAGGGCGGCACAATACACCGCAGGAATTGTATCTGAAAGCTATGTTATGCTCCTCTCAGCTTATGTTATTGCACATTCAGGTCATGATAAGTCGTCAGGTGCTTTTCTGGTTTTAAGACGGCGTGTGGATTTGGTAAATGATTTCCACATTGCATCTGTCTTAAGATGGCTAGAGGTACTTAATCACCATATCCCAGATCATGCTGGTTTTGCAAAGTGCTGGTTGTGGTTCTCTTGGATCTCAAAGTTCCTGTCTCGTGTTACGTGCGGGTGCTAGAGCCTCGAGCTCAGCAGCACACAATATGAGCGAACTTCCTTGGCACACGTACATCACTAAAATCCTATAGGGATCCAAGTATACAAATAATACGTACATTGGGCCCTAAGGTCTGTGAATATTACCTACACTAAGCTATTTGGATCCCTAGGGGCAGTTCTCACTCAAGGTCTATGACATCACCATATTCTCACCAATCCTATCGCAGCTCTCCCTCAGCTGCTGCTACCTTGCTCGTTCGCTTTCTTGCAGTTCCGGGTTCACCTCTTATCTAAATGACCATGCAAAAACACGACTGCTAACATTTCAGTTGCTTCCCATATTGGCTAGAGTCTACACTCCTAGTATCCCCGTCAATAAGCCCTACAATTCTCCCCTATATGACCCTCCTTCATTAAGGACTTTAGACTACAGCTCAAATAAAGCCAGTAAATGTCCAACTTCAGAACAGTCGGGGCAAGCCCTCCGGTTGTTGAACTTGTACGTACGGTTTCATGCTTCAAGAGTAAGCTTGTCATTGCCAGCCTCTGTGTTCCTATCACACTCCAATCAGGCAAGCAATGCTTCAATTGGCTTATAACCACCCACGAACCTCTACTTTTGATACTAGGTAGCCTGTATGATCTGGGTATACCATGTTACCATAATTCTCAAGGCTTATGGTACTTCAGGTCAAAAAGGATTTTTATCAGCTATCTCCAGAAGATGTTGAAGACATCTGAACGACCGGCTAGTCTAAACTCCCTCAAGCAGAGATGGAGCTCTCAAAGGCTCATGTTTGCCCTATTATAATGAGGAAATGTTTGTTCTCACGAGGATAAACTCAGGAGTCTGAGATCACAAATGGCCCATGACGAACCCCCTAGCCCATTGTTATGCCTGGGCCTTGAACCGCATGTAGCAACTCTCTGAGAATTAGCCCGTTCGAAAGGACCTTCATGTCCTCGAGAAGTGCCAGCTAATCTAGGAAATCCCTGGCCACTATCCAGGACTCATTGGGGTAATGTTAGGGGTTACATTAGGGTTATATAGGGNNGGGGTTATATTAAGGTCATATTGGGTGTATATTAGGGGTATATTTAGGGTCTGCATAATACCTCTGCGCTGAAATCCCGGCAGTGTTTCAGGCCAGAAGCCCGTATACTTCAACCCGTCGCCTCCTTTTGCATCCAACCCGTCGCCTCCTATAAGCCTAAACCCTGACACCCCCCCCCCCCTGTCCCTACGTTCCTCATTCATAAGCTCATCTTAGACCCAAAAGGCTTTCAGTTTCAGGCCTCTGGGACCATAGTATGAATTTCTTATATGAAATCCTTAACCTGAGGGTCTTTTGGCGGTCTAAGAGTCTAAGATAAATTGGAATCTGCACAAACTTTAAACCCCAAACCCCAAA